AAGGGCAGGGCGGTTGGAACTGGATGATCTTTAAGGTCCCTTCCAACCCAAACCATTCTGTGATTCTATGAAATATGCATATGTATTTACATGAATTTACATATGCATATAAAATTTTATGGGCATGGAAGGGGAATATGTTATGGCAGCTAGATTAAGCCATCTCCCTTTAGTTCCTGGGCACCCTGCATGACAATTGTCTGATTTCAGTGTAAAACACTCTCACTCCCAACGAGGACAGCTCTGGCTCTTATGCTCTGCCAGGGATGAAGTCGGAAGTGTTTTGGGACTCTTTCTTCCTGGTGGCACTAGTGTCAGTCCCATACCAGGGGACACCCCTGACCCAGGCTGCAAGTATCTCACTGCATGCTCCTCTGCAATCCACCCGGATCCCCATGGACTTCAAACACCAAATGTCTTGTCTCCATACCAAAATGTCTTGCTGTAGCTCTAGGGTAAGACTACAAGCAGACTTAAATGTATATGGTAAAGCAGGCTTAAATTATATAGTATTTCTCTATGGATGCACACAGGAAATAATGGTCCTGAAGGGTACAAGCTTGGTGAACAAAGCTGCATTTATCTAAAGTCAAGAAACTAGAGACTAAGGAACCAAGGGGGAAAAATGCTAGGTTCCTACTAAAATCAAAGGGAATTTTGGCACTGACTTGTATAGGAAATGTCTCTAGTTGTTGTAGTGAGTTATAACTGGAAGAAAGTTCGAAAGACAATCATTCAGATTCTGTTTAGGAGACCATGTGTGTGGGTGTATTTACGGCTATAATTTATCACTCTGTGGTGGAGACCCAGAAGTCCATCAGAGACAGAAAGGCCCTTCTGTTTGAGGCAGGCCACATGTTTTTCCTGGAGAGCAGAGAGAGGGATCAGTGAACCCACAGGAGAGCAGATTTACCACGCAGCTGAGCTGCGATGCTCGGAGGATGCTCCCTCTTGCAGTACCTTTTACAGGTTCTACTTGGAGCTATGTGTGGTCCAGCCCTGACTTCAGTTTGCAGCACAGAATTACTTGTTTGGTGACTTTTTTGGGGGTAGAACCCTGGCAGTTTCTTCCTCGCAGCCAGCATTGCCTTACCTTACATGCCCTCTCAAAATGTATTGAGCTAATTGATGAGTTTTTAAAAATGCCTATCTGGAATGCATTATTTTTGTTCAATAAATCTCTATTTTCTCTGTGAGCAAAAACCAAACAAACAACCATCATTAATCCCACTTTACAAGCTGAGAAGCTGAAACACAGAGAGGCAGAGCAAGCTAACAGAGACTGTCAGAGCACAAGATATAGCTAGGTTCCTCGTGCCCAGCACAGGTCACACAGCTGGAGGCTGTCTCAGTGGCCAAAGCCCCGCTCACAAACATCCCTCTTCCAAAGCAACTGACCTTACCTCTCAGGCTAGATTAGAAAAATAAAGCCTAGATATCAAAGGCCAAGTTCCAGCCTCATTCAGACACACTCAATTGAGTGTTCGTGCAACAGAGGTTAACACTTGCAATGATTTTTATGGCCAATATTTTTTTACCACAGGATTTGTGGCATACGAAGGCATCACTTCTCAAGCACTTTCAATAACTGTGTTATATTTAACAGCACCAAATAAAACCATAGCAGTTGGATCAATATTATATTCATATTTTATTCCATAAATAAACTCCATTGGTTTGTATGCTGGTTGTTTTCACTTCCAAAATGTACAAATAAAGATTTAAATATTTTTGGAGGAAACGTTACAGATGGTTTTAGTTTCTCAGTGTTGATGCAAACATCCTTCTTGGCACCACTTCTTAATAAGCCATTGCTATAAATACTTAATGCTCACAGAAGTGGAGTAAAATATATATTACAGAGAAAAACACAAAAAACAGTGTTATAATCAAATTTTGAAATATTGCTTTTTAACAGGTAAGCTTGCTATGTGGATTCACTATATAAACAGGAATAGAGTTCTTCAGAGAGCTGAACTATTGGTCCCTTTTGGTAGGTTAAGCATTAATGTGAAACTGCTGCTGCTATGATTATGTGGTAATGCTATTTCAGCTAGTTTCTAAACATAACAAATAATAATATTCATTTTTCTTTACTTCAAGAATTTAACTCACAGGGAATCAATTAATAGAATGCTCCAGAGCATTTAAGACATTTTCCAGGTCTTATAAATCCAGTTCTATTGCTACAGAGATGTACACTTCAGAAAATATTAAGATAAATAACAACACTGTAATTCAGCATTTGTATTAAAACTTCTTAAAATTATTTCCTCTGGGTAAACTGACCAAAAGGTGATGCTCTGAAATAGCTGTCTTCCCTTTTAGACTGTTTCTGATTACTTGAGAGTTGCCTTAAAACTTCAATTCAAATATAAATGATCTTTCTTTATATAAAGAACCAGAGATAAGAAAAATAGCTCCAGGTAATTGAGATAATAGTAAATTTTATGGCTTATCTAGAAGTCAGAGGCATTCAAGATCCAATTGGGATGATGGGCAAGAGTATCCTTTGTCACTCTGTGTTTCTTTGAAGGAGCTGGTCCAGTAATTGCTAGGGAAAAATATGCAAAACAGCCTTAAGATGCCGTCAAAATACATGAGGTGGCTATAACTGTAGAAATCTTCAGTGATAGTGTAGGTGAGATGGTATCAGCATTCTCAGGCCAGTAGATTTGAAATCTACCGGCAACATTTCTCCAAAACAAAACAAAAAATTCACTGTAAGCTTTTCCATCTTGGACAGGAAGGGTGTAATTACATAGGACATTTAAACAAGGTAGAACTGGTACTTGGTGTGCAGCGTGGAGCAGGATTACCCGGCAGTGCCTCAGATCTGTACCTGGGTTAACTGCACTCCTGCAGCTTTCTACCACAACTAATTACTCATTTGTTTTAAAATAATGTCTTGGCTACTTGTTCCAACACAAGGTTCAGCTGTTGATTCAAGTTTTAAAAAGTGCCTAATTCCAAGCACAAGATGTAAAAAACCCTCATCCTTTGCTCTCAGGGCTTGCACATGGTTAGGACAAGCTCCCCAGGCAGGTGCTGTCTCTATTAAATCCTTTCAGAGGTAAAGAAGGTTTACAAAAATACACTTGGCTTTCACAGTAAATCCTTACCTTTTTAAACATCTCAACACGCAGTCTGTTACTCTGGATGATGGTCCGTTTCTGTTTTTCTTCTTGTTTCTTTTTTACTTCAGGTAAATTGTCATAAATCCTGGAATGAATTTAGAAATTAAAAGTCATCCCTGGGACCTGTAAATAATTTGTTTTCCCTATAGGAAATGTTCGCCTTCAATGCAATACTTGTCATTAATGGGCATCTCTAAGTAGTTAAATTGGATTCATGGCACGGGAATTACAAACTATTAACAATAATGGTTTTATATAATATCTGACTTGTTGAAAAACACTTCTAATTTTGGACTAAAAAGTAAAGAAAGAAATGGGAGCAGGTTATCTCAATGCAGCAGCCTAATTCTGAAGTAGCTTCTAATGAGCTCAGCAGAGTTGGTTTCAATTTATAGCGACATAATTCAAACCAGAATCTGGCCTGTATGATTTTTGTTTATAGTTATGTCACAAAATTAATATCAAGCAATTATTTCAAAGTCTTTTCCCAAAATATAAGAAAACCATCATTCTAAGTCTGTAGACTGTTAACATTTGTTTCACTCTCACTAGGAACTCTTTTTACCAAGGAGAACATTATCTGTCCATTTTTAAAAGTTACGTGAGTTGCCCTCAGAAAGGTGACTTATAGAACCACAGAATGGTTTGGGTTGGAAGGGACCTTAAAAACCATCTAGTTCCAACCCCCTGCCATGGGCAGGGACACCTTCCACTAGACCAGGTTGCTCCAAGCCTCATCCAGCCTGGCCTTGGACACTTCCAGGGATGGGGCATCCACAGCTGCTCTGGGCAACCTGTCCCAGTGCCTCATCACCCTCTCCAGGAAGAACTTCTTCATTAATCTAAACCTCCCCACTTTCAATTTAAACCTGTTACCCCTTGTCCTGTCACTACAGGCCCTTGTAAAAAGTCCCCCCCAGCTTCCTTGTAGCCCCTTCAGGCACTGGAAGGTGCTATAAGGTCTCCCTGGAGCCTTCTCTTCTCCAGGCTGAACAAGTCCAACTCTCTCAGCCTGTCCCCATGGCAGAGGTGCTCCAGCCCTCTGAGCATCTTTGTGGCCTCCTCTGGACTCACTCCAACAGATTTCTGGTCTGACCTTTTTCCACTGAAATCAGTGATAAAATTCCCAGGGATCTGAAGAAGAAAGCAGGACCTCCCTTCGCAGCAGTCCTGTTCTTTGCATGCATACAATGCCTGCTGGTTCTCCTACTATTTTGCAATACTGAGTTCAAGAGACAGCCTGGTTTGGCTTGCACGCTGCCAGGAGACTGTATTTTGGAGGCGGCAAGATGGACACACCTTGAGCACTCTTAAAAAGGGGTGAATTCTGCGTGGTAGCCATTTGCAGCTTTCCTTGCAGTAAAGGATGGTGTGAAGTGCAATGCAGCTGAAGGTCAGACACCTCATTTCTAACAGTTCTCTGTAATTCTCATGCTAATCACGTGCCATAATCAGGATGAAAATAAAACAACCCAAAGTGACTCCACTGCTTACATTTTAGAAGGTCCAGCATGAGGTACCTCCCAGGGACTTAGTTTTCACACCGTTGGTACGCCATGCCGTCTGAAACTGCTAGAAAAAGGATGCCGAAAGGGCAGGGCTGACCCAAATGTATCAAACTGATACAGTTCAAGAAAAATATGAGCATCGCACGAAAGTGCGGCAGGCGGCGTGACAGAAGAAGCCTCCAGCCTCAGAGGATGACGTGGAAACACGCTGCCTTAGGCATGAGATGGCAGTGATTGGCAGCAAACTCTAAACCGCAGCGATTTGTACCTTTTCGATCTCATATGCATCTCCTTCTCCGGAATGAATCTTTCCTTTGGTTTGAAGAGGTTATCTAGCAGAGGGAAAATAAAATTAATATTGGAGGAACCTGCGTTTACTGAAATGTTAAATGTCACGTTCCATGTAGTCGTGATATGATATTTCTGATTAAATCTGATTAAATATATTTCTGATTAAATTTTTGATGGCTTAAGGCCGGATCCAAATCTCCATAGGTCAATGGAAAGGCATTTAACAACTTCATCTGGAGCTGAATTCGTTCCCGAAAATGCCCTACAGAAAGGGAAGGATGGATAAGACCCATAGCAACCAGCCTAATTGCAGAGTTCATTTATTTTAAATGCATATGGCTTTTTTCATTGTCACGTGCAGCTGTGTACCCCCTTTATTCAGATCAAGAACCAGAGAGGATTAGTGTTGGATCAAGCTGCCTGTTTTCCCCATGTGCAGGCAATTGCACCCGTGTACGCTGGCTGCATCCTCAGATGATGCGTGTTGGAAACGTGGCCTGGTATGATCACTTCTGATTCAATTTACACCTGTTTTGCAGGGCTGTGAATAATTACGCTGAGCGTTAGGAGGAGGAAAATTATATTACTCTTTCCTGATCAAATATGAAGATAACTGCGATAATTCCAATCAGCATTTCCCTGGATACAGGAAAATAATTACTGATCTTAGCAGTCAGTAAATCTCAGGAACAGGTAATTTTAACAGCTTCCTTACAAAAACGGATCCTGGATGGGAAGGGGTTGTGTTCATCCAAGGTGGGAAGCTAGTAAATGTGTAATCAGAACTGATTCTTCATGAGGAAGACTGTGTCCAACCATGTTTATCAGGGAGAGGAGGGAGGAGAGGACTAATGCCTGTACCTCCAGGTTATTTAGATTTACACCAGGATGACGAAAGAAAAAGTGGGGAGATGGGGCATGGTCCCTGCTCCATAGGGCAGGACACATCTGGAGGAGGGAAAGGAACATCCCATAGAGCACGAGCTGCCACACTGATGCACACAGGCAACATGGATAGTTCTAACTTGAGCTTCTCAGTTCAGGGATATGAAAGAAATGGTTTGACCTTCTGGCCTCTGAACAGTAGGATGGCCAGAGCGTTGCCTATGCCCAGACAGGTCCAGGCAGTTTCCCCAGGGCACTGAGGATAGGGATGTGATGCCCTGTGTGGTCACAGTAATCTGAACATCAAAGGTATTGGCCAGTCTCTTTGCAGAATGTTTGTATAAGATAAATATATGTGCAAACTTTTTAGCACTTCGATTTTCCAAGGAAGTTTAGAAGACATAATATATATCACAGCAGGCACCACGTCAGCCTCTTTCTGCCATCTCACTGAAGAGACAAAACACAATATTCAAGGCAGAGAAGTAAACACAGAGAATAATTTGTTCCAGAATTATTCTGGACACAGCAACCACTACCCAAAAAAGACCCCTCTCCCACCAGGTTTCCTTCCCTGCTGCTGAAGACACCAAATGTTTCAGGGATATTTCTGGGAGATGCCTTAGCAACCAGCCAGCCTCGAGCAGCTTACAGGGCTACACCCAGAGGCAAAGTCATCCTCAGATCACCGTGTTTCTCATGGAAATGCTACACGTCCTTTAAGATCACTGTTGTATCTCGATGTAAAAATAAAAGGGAGTGTTGCAGCAGTTCCTATTCTGAACTTGTACAGTTTTCAAAACAAATTGAGCAAGGCGGGCGGTGGTGGAGGCGGGGGGGGTGGGGGCTGCAAAGCCTCCTTTGCCTGAGGACTGACTTTCCTCCACTCAGCAGTTGTCTACACTTAATCATGCTTATTAAATCTTCAGTACACACAAGCAACATGCTCAATTTGCTAGGAAAATATAATTTGTCTTTTATTTATTAGTGGTTTTATGTTCATTTACGTGTTCATTAACTTAAAAGGAATAAACACTTAGATGCTATTGCTGTCCAAAGAACCCTGAAACTTAAGGGAGCAGACTGACTGTGACCCACATGGTCCTCGCCAAGGATTAGGGTCCAGGCTCATGGATTTTCTAGCACCAGCGTGGATCCCAGCACACTTCAGAGCAGCCTCAGCATGGTCCCTTGCTGCTCGGGGTTGCACACCTCATTCTGAGAGCTCAGGATTGCAGGATGCATCCCTTCCCGCAAGGCATATCCTCTAACCCAGAGAATGACACAGGATCAGTCTGAAATGGTATAAAGCCATCATTATAGGTCCTCTGCTGCGTTAAAACAGGCATAGGCCCTTCATACTGCACAGCAAATTCAGGTTTTGTCTGTAAGTAATATGGTCCTCAGTACAAGATCCCTGGTGTGACAACGATCAGGCAGCGTGACTGGCCAGCGCGGAGACAGGGTTTGGATGTCACATCTGCTCAGATTTATGGACTTTTGTTCCAGGAATTCTCAGATGTAGGATTTCTGGAATAAAACAAATTATTTTAGTGATCCTTCCCTATTTTTCCTAAATAAAAACTGTTAATGATCTGTATTTTTCCTCTGAGGGGCTAAAACAGGCTGGCCTCTGTGTTGGAGGTGGTGGGAAGCACCGCAGAGGCTGAGAGCTGTGCCGGTGCGGGAGCAGACGGCTGTTCCTCCAGGATAACCCTCTCTGGATGGCACAGAAACAGGCTTGAAAGGCATCAGACCCACCACTGCCCACGATTCTACCTGGAACTGTGTATGGGGCTGTGCCGATGGCTTTGAAGAGAAGGGTTAAAAAGAGACTTTGATGAAAAACCTCCAAAAAAAAAAAAAAATCTGCCTTGGTTATAAAAATACCCTTTGTGAAACAGCTTGGAGTCAGAAGATTAACACTCATGGCTAAACATTTGCGTAGTGCATCTCAGCTCACTCTCAGGTCGTTATGTATGAGAAAAACAATCACATGCAAGCATCAAGCAGAAATAAGGCTGATCCTTGACAGATTTTAGGATTAGAATTAAAAAAATTAACCAAAAAATAAATAAAAATAAATGAGAAAATAAAAATCATATGTGCATTTAAATATTTGTTAATGTTCATACCACAAAGAAAGCGTATTTCAAAGTGGAGGAGCAGCACACATTGAGAGCTATAATAACCTGCCAAACACATCATGAAGACCTGAATTAACATTCTTTCCTACAAAGCGAAGATCAAAGTGGAGCATAAGGTGGACAATTCCCTGGGTTGATAGTCTGCTAAATTGCATTTAATCAAAATTCCTTATCAAATTGCACACCCTTTTATTACTTTTGGAGAGAACTCTTCTGAAGGATAAAAAAGAAGGGATTTCAAAGCAGACATTCAGCATTTCTGGTGATGCACTGCAGTTAAATAAATTGCAGACAGATAGACATGAAACACTTAATTGGTATTTTACTCAAACCTTGTGAAACTACTGAGCTTCTGGTATTTATACCAACGCTGTGTAGCAGTGGTCTGACATCTCCGTAGTGGGAGAAAGAAGCCACTCCAGCAAGTTGTAAATGAAAGTAAATGGGTCATCACTGTAATATATTTTAACTAATGCTAAACTGCACCTCAGACAGGATGAGTAACTTTCCTGCTCGGGAAGTTAGTAAATGTTTAGATAGAGGAGAGATAAAATGATTGTGTTGGAACTGTCCCCTGACACTTAAAAAAGAAAAAGAGGGGCAAAATCTATCAAAGGCTAAAGTCTGCCCATCGGAATATACATATATTTTCCCCTAACATAAATGTGAATTCTCCAAGTTCCTTGCAAGCTAAAATGTGCCTTTGACGATGTGTGGCCAGTCCCTGCAAAACAAAGCACTGATAATGGTGGGTCTCTAATTAAACTGCTTTTTCACTGAACTGAAAAAATAATTCACCAAAATCCCACTCACTCAGAGGAGTCCTAATATATAAAATATTTTTTTTAAAACACTGCTTTTTAAATCAACAGTCCCATAAAAAAACAAATTAGCCTTGAGTCTAAGATAAATGTCAAGGTGGCATTCAGCTTAACATGCCCATAGCACTTGACTGGGAATTCATCCAGAGAATATAAACTAGTGCCTACACCCAGGGGTGATGCCCAAACTTTTGCATATTGCATGTCAATGACTTCATGCAATGAATTGCTTCAGCTGCAGTCAACAGATGAGGTCTTCATATTATTTATAAAAAAATGCCATAACCCATTAGTTCCAGGTTTGATGGTATAACTGCCTGCACTTTCTGCTCATCTCAGAGAAACGCTGAAGCTCAGAAGTGGTCCTTCACCCAACAGGACCCACAGGAAGGTGGTTCCCAGGCTATCCAGCTGTTCAGGTCTGTCCTACACCATGCCTATTGAGACTTCTGATCCTCCTTAGTATTTCAGTCTTAATGGAAATTATCACTAGTATCTCTAAAAAAACCTGTAAAGCTTACAGGTTTGCAAGTTTATGAAAACTTTTTCGTACTAAATTAATTTTGGTTATGATGCAAGAGATTTCAGTCCCTTTTGTCCAAATGATACCTAAACATTCATGGATTTCATCCAGAAAAAAAAAAAATTAGCATCTCACCTGGCCTTCCTAAATCATTCTTGTTTTATTAGAGCATGTAGTCTTGAAAAAGCATAACATTGCTTTTAAAAAAGAGCAGTTAATGAAGAAGGTACGACAGATCTTAATAAAATCATCAAAATATTAAATTATCCTTTGGTAAAATTTGCACCATCTTCTTAATCCCGACTTCTTTAGTTTCAATTTCTAGTCAGGGGTGAGATCAGACCTTTTCCACCTGGATTAAAAAGTCCATCATCAAAAAGTCAGTTTTCTATTTGGCTACTCCATGACTAATGAAATTATCCCCTAGCAAATTTACTTGACTGAACTTTGTGAGTCACCCATTACGAGGCGCATTGTTTCAACGTTGTCATCATCCACACAGAAAACTTTTCATATCTGAAGATTTTCCTATTTATTGCTGTCTTCCTTGCACAGAGCCTGGCTATCTCCCCTCTTTGCAAGGATGAGGGCATGGAGGGGACATGCTGGTGACCCCATTCACTGCATCACCTCCTTCCCTGTCACCACAGCACTGGGCTCCTGAT